TACAACTAAATACGTATATATATCTTCCAGTACAACACTCAACCCATCATCAACATCATGTCTCCATCCCTCAATTAAATTAACCACCCCTATAGTCTCTGTTCTCCCCCCCCCCCTTCCCCCTCCCCCTTGTTACCCAAGCAACTCTACCCCATTCCAGCCCCATTAGAATACGCTACCTCACCCAACCCTAAGCAACGTGCGACACCCATTACAGAAAAGATAATGAAACTTGAAAGTGAGAATGGACAGAAGCGAGAGTTAAATTTGTGGTCATAAATACAGATGGAGTAACAAACAAAGCAGAGGAACTCGCAGGAAACGAAACTGTGATGAGTAATAGCAAATTCGGTGTACATTTAGAACTAACATGTAATGCGAAAGAAGAGATACAATAAGCGAGACTTAGAAAGAGAGTGGCTCTATTAACCAGGAGGAATTGGATATTCAAAATGTCCTGAGCTGTGGAGGATTGAGAACCTACGTTAACACACACGCCTCACACAATTTGAGAGCCCAGGTTGATATTCATGGTGTGCAACCCCTCTGCAACATTACAGAGGACTAAAAGAGGAGTGTGACTCTTGACAAGAGAGCAGAGAGGTGGTACCAGCAGAGTGGCCCCACAAGAGAAGGTACTCTCTAGGGTACGTCTCGTTCCTGATTGGTTCATGTCCTGCTATAATGACAGTGCTTATAGCAACTATTTGGTCGGGCTCACAGTAATGTTGCAGCCATCAATGACCAATGCAACACTGTCCACGCCTCGTATTATTGATTTTTGCAGAAGGTTCTAAAAACACTTTTAAATTCCTAGGTCTAGTATAGGACATATATTCACTATATTAGACCTATGATAGTATATATATATATAAATATATATATATATATATATTTATATATAGTATATATATAAATATATATATATATATATATATATTTGTATATAGTATTTATATATAAATATATATATATATATATATATATATATATATATATATATATATATATATATATATATAGTCAAGAAAACGTTTCAATTAGTCAAGGAAACGTCTTAATTAGTCAAGGAAACGTCTTAATTAGTCAAGGAAACGTCTTAATTAATCGAGGAAACGTCTTGATTAGTCAAGGAAACGTCTTAATTAGTCAAGAAAACGTCTTAATTAGTCAAGGAAACGTCTTAATTAGTCAAGGAAACGTCTTAATTAGAGACGTTTCCACGTATGAGAGAGAGAGAGAGAGAGAGAGAGAGAGAGAGAGAGAGAGAGAGAGGGAGAGAGGGAGAGAGGAGGAGGAAACGTAGAAGGAGTTATTGTAGCAAAATACAAGTATACACCACATTAGAGGAAGTATCTCCCCACAATAGATGGAGATATCCCACAATATAAAGGGAGGTTACATCCACCATAATAAAGTAGATAAAGATACCTCAACACAATTGTAAGGTGATCTACCCCAACACAACACTAAGCAGCATAGAACTAGAAAATCAGACTAATAAAACCAAATACAGCAAACCTAACAGTAAAGGTCTACAATATTGACCAATCCACACACTAGAAAATGAAGGGACGACGACGTTTCGGTCCGTCCTAGACCATTCTCAAGTCAACAATCGACTTGAGAATGGTCCAGGACGGACCGAAACGTCGTCGTCCCTTCATTTTCTAGTGTGTGGTCTGGTCAACATTCTTCAGTCACGTTATTGTGACTCCTCGCCTGCACGCACTACAATAGTTCCGTAAGGCAGCTGTAGTATCAGGAGCTCTCGAGAGAACTGCCAAAGAGTTAGAAAATAACAAATGTCTTTCCTATCTGGAAAGAAGATAAGCTACCGAACGCAGGTCTCATCTCGAGAGAACTACCAAAGAGTTAGAAAATAACAAATGTCTTTCCTATCTGGAAAGAAGATAAGCTACCGAACGCAGGTCTCACTGACATGCAGAACTATATATGTTATTGAACAACACATTCAGATTTATAGAGAACACAATTTATAACGAAGAACAATATGTTCTTGGGAAGCGGAAGTCCTGTTAGAACAATTAAGTAAACTGTAGGAGCAGGATGAGTAAAACATGTAGCAGGAAAGGGAAGGACAGAGAGATAACACTTTATTATACGCAGTGAACACGCGCTGAACACACAGCGAGTGCACAGCGAACACACACCAAACACACACCGAACACAGCGAATACACAGCAAACACACACCGAACACAGCGAGTGCACAGCGAACACAGTGAACACACACCGAACACACAGCAAACACACAGTGAACGCACAGCGAATACACAGCGAACACACAGCGAACACAGCGAACACAGCGAACACACAGCGAACACAGTGAACGCACAGCGAACACACAGCGAACACACAGCGAACACACAGCAAACACACAGCAAACACACAGCTAACACAGAGAACACAGCGAACACAGCGAACACACAGCGAACGCACAGCGAACACACAGCGAACACACAGCGAACACGCAGCGAACGCACAGCGAACACACAGTAACCACACACATACACTGAGCCCATTGTATCACAAACAAACATCGCCCTACCAGTAAAGAGCACAATGCTCACGTATCATGTTTCTAAATCTTCTAGCTAGTTACAAAGGTTTCTCTGTAGTTACAAAGTTTCTTAAGTAGTTATCGTAGTTTCTAACTCTTTTCTTCGCTAGTAACATCATCTCAAGTCTAAGAACAGGCGTCTTGAGTTTAAATGACGCGTACGGCGATATCTTGCGTCTAAAGGCTACTACGGGCTCACCATAGCCCGTGCTACTTGGAACTTTTTGCTCTAGGTAGCGAATCTTTAACAACAACGTCTAAAGTCACAAATACACCAACTATTAAAGTAATCTACATCTTCGATTCGCAATCCCACCCACCGTGTTCGATCCCTGGGTGGGACAGAAGTGGTTGGGCACGTATCCTTCCATCTGGTGCATCTGTTCACCTTGCAGAAAGTAGATACGGGCTTCCTCTCGCCACTATGAACATAGACGGTCTTTTATGTTAAGCGTTCAAGGTTAAATATTTTGGAAATCAGGTTCCCTGTTTGTTCTAGTCCAGACCCGTCACACCGTGGGACAGATGAACCAATACCCGTCACACCGTGGGACAGGTGAACCAATACCCGTCACGCCGTGGGACAGATGAACCAATACCCGTCACACCGTAGGACAGATGAACCAATACCCGTCACGCCGTGGGACAGGTGAACCAATACCCGTCACACCGTGGGACAGATGAACCAATACCCGTCACGCCGTGGGACAGATGAACCAATACCCGTCACACCGTGGGACAGATGAACCAATACCCGTCACGCCGTGGGACAGGTGAACCAATGCCCGTCACGCCGTGGGACAGGTGAACCAATGCCCGTCACACTGCCGGCTACTGTTATTGTGGACGGCGGTTCAAGGCTCCGAGGGTCCAGGAGAATGAAATGTCATCATCCCTGACAATAGTGGTTGGCAATTTATAACACTAAGGGTGTAGTTGGACCTTTAGGCCGGACGTAGGCCTACCCTTAGGTAGGTCTACCCCTAGGTAGACCTACCTAAGGGTAGGCCTGCCTCTCCTGGAAGAGAGGCGCGAAAAAGAGAGATGAGATAGAAATGGGAGAGGGGGGATGGGAAAGGATGGGAGAGATAGAGAGAGAGAGAGAGAGAGAGAGAGAGAGAGAGAGAGAGAGAGAGAGAGAGAGAGAGAGAGAGAGAGAGAGAGAGAGAGAGAGAGAGAGAGAGAGAGAGACCCTAGTCAGGTACAGTTCCTATTATAATATATATAAGGATACAGGGGGGGTATTACACAGTCAATTACGGGCTCACCATAGCCCGTGCTACATGGACACTTCGTTCTGAGTAGCTAAATCTGAAACAAACAACGATTACACAGTGCTACAGAAAACAAGCTACACAACAACTCAACAAGTGGCTACTGGTATTCAGCATCGGTATATGCAAGGTGATGAAGACAGGAGTAGGAAAAATGAGACCAGGGGGAACAGTACAGCATGAAGATGGACCAGAGGAACAGCAAGAACCTGGCTAAAGGGGTCAGAGCATGACATGCCACGTACGTGAGACCAGTATTTCCGTGTGTAGCGCCAGCAGGGGACTAACATCTAGTCGACCCCAAAAAGAAAGAAAATATTTGGTATATCAGGTAAGCATGAGAGAGAGTATGAGTTTGCAGGTGTGGCCCATGTCGTCGAGGCCAAAGTACAAGTGTGGCCCTGTCGTCGACGCCACAGTACAGATGTGGCCCCTGTCGTCGACGCCACAGTACAGATGTGACTCCTGTGGTCGACGCAACAGTACAGATGTGGCCCCTGTCGTCGACGCCACAGTACAGATGTGACTCCTGTGGTCGACGCAACAGTACAGATGTGGCCCCTGTCGTCGACGCCACAGTACAGATGTGGCCCCTGGCGTCAAACGCCACAGTACGGGATAGTCTGTCACACCTGGACAGGTAATGAATTATCCACCACAATGACAAACACAGCATCCAGTAGGAGGCTATCCACCAGGACACTTTAGTGGATCAAGTCCCTATATACACACCGCCAGGACTGGATTGTATATACACACCTTGTGAGTATATACGGCGACCCGCTCACCTGTGAACGCTGGCTAGCTCGCGGCTCGCCAGCTGACCTTTCCTGATAACGTCGACAACTGGGTGTCATCAATGTTGTATGGAGCGGACGCGGGATTACCGCCCTCCGCCCGCCTCGACTCCTTATACCGCCTCCCACGATCAATATTTCCTCCGTGGAACTATTAACCCCGAGGGAATCACCTGCCGGGGACCTGAACGTAACGAGATTAGGAGGGGGGGGGGCCAGTTGCAACTGTAATTGGCATCGGCTTCTGCCGGTCTGTATGTGAGGTGTGTTGGGAGAGGGGCAGATCACAGGACGGAGATGTGTGTGTGTGTGTGTGTGAGGGTGTGTTTACAAAGGCATGACTGAC